GTGCAACAGCTGATAACGCAGGTTTGTTTTTCACGACTGGTGAAAACTAGTGAGAACAAAACGGTCGACTTTCCCGGCCAGACGCACAAATGATTCAGGGGTGGGGTGGAGTGGGGGCGGCGTGGTGAATGGAGTGGCGAGCTGTGATCTTGATTTGCCATTCGACACAGTTTCATGCGATAAAAGTGCAACAGAACTAAAGCGCAAATTTCTACTCATCCTTGTGTTTCCAAAATCTGGCAAATCATCTGCTTTTATTGCCACTAACAAACTCCTGGTAAAAAAAAATTGTTCCCGGATTGATGTTGATTGGCACGTTTTTCGGTTCTAAAATCCTGTGTTTTCTGAGCATATGTGCACGATCCGTTAAACTTCAGGATGTATGTGCACAGATGCAGGAAATGATGGAGGATACGCTGTGCAAACCTGTTTTGGCTTCCCTATTCGAATTCGTTACGGGGTAATTGTTTTTCACGATTGTTCCAGGTCAGTAAGTGAGGTGATTGAACAAAATGCCAACAATTCGCAACATTTATTTTCCTTCGGCATTCTGGCTATTTCGAAGACGATTTTGGTCATCAAAAAATTGAACAGGGATGGTGAAATACGAAACCCTTAACAAACGAGATACTCAGGTTGCAACAGAGCCTTACTTGGTCATAAGTAAGTTAACATTACTTTAACTTTGATACGTGAACTCTACTTCTAGGATATTCCGTTGGGAAGATAAGAAGCCGAGAGAGCCTCGCTGTTCACTAAGTCAAAAGTTATTTTTCGATCCAGGAAAACTTTGATCGTTGGTCAACGGTACATGCAACCTGGCTTGAGGACTTGAAACAACATAAAAATTCGACCAATATATAAACAACCGAGTCAGAATCCTGCCTACTGTACACAGATGTTGGTGTTTCTCTAAGGTGTCAGTCGGTGACCTATGACGGAGGCTGGCAATTTGGTGAAGACCGAGATCAAACTTATCCCGCGGTCCATGCGAGATTCCTTCTTGAAAATGGGAGCAATCCGTGATTTTACATTTGGATAGCGGGATACAGTCCTGTGGTAAAGTGCTGTACAGTAAGACAGTACCAGAACTCACGAGAGAAACTTCTTTCTTTTGCCTTCGACCTTGGAAAAGTGAGAATAAGCCCTTCGGACCCAGCTGGTTTTTTCTATCCTGAGTTTGAATGTTAGAGGATCGCACGACTCTAGCGACGAAGCTCAAGTTTCGATAACCCATTTAGTCCGGCTAGCATTCAGCAAATCGAATTAGTAACCCAACCAACGATGAAGGCGCTGTTTCCAAGTGTGAAAAAATTGTCTTTTTATCATAGACTGCCTCACTAGACAGGAAATGATGATAGTTGGTTTGGCACTGGAGTAATCTATCGAGGTTTCCCGTTCGTGTGGACAGGCTTCTGATGCGCTCAGTTTTAAAATCTGTGCAGTAAGATCGCCAATGAGCACAACTGCATAGGAGCTTCAGTCGGGTTTACATCAGTTCGGAGAATTACTACCATATGGAGACAGAGAATAGGTTGCAGTTTAACACTATGAAACATCGTTCATCGGTAGCGACTTGTTTGACATAAATTCCCTATAATCTATTCCACAATCCAGTACGCAACTGACAATACCGTGGAGAAACTCATCGGACTGAGGAGTACCTGGACAAATACCTCCTCTAATCAAACTCCAGCATTAATCGGCGCGAATCGACATCAGGACGAGATTTTCGCCGGCGTCAAAACGTCCGATTCCGGGGAGCGGATTTATCCAGATTATCATGGAAACATCCTGTTCGTAATACGCTACACTGCATCAGTGATTTTTTCCCAGAGATCTTTTGAATGCTTTCTACAGGACCGTAACCGAAATACGCGAAACGTTGAAAGGGGTTTAGCGACTATCATCAAGCAAGGTGTGATTCGTTGATTCATACACCCATGAGTCGGTAGCGGATCAACAACAAGAAAATAACTTGTTCAGTCGGCGGACACGAATCGAATAAATCACGGGAGAGGAGAATCTTACCTGAGCTGAAGTTCCTCGTGCTTATTCACATGAGCCACTATTCTTCGAATGTCTGTCATGTCCGGAAAGCGTTTCTTCTCATTGACTAGTTGTTCGACCATGGTGTTCACGCTCGGGTATCGGCAACCTGATGTGAGTGAGGAAAGAACAGGATACGAAAAGCGTGCACATCATTTCGAAAGTGTAATTTTAATGGGGTAAGGTGGGGTGGGGTTGGGGACAAGCGACGTGGTAAGCTACTCTGATCGATTAAAACTTTTTTTACAGTTTACAGCAAGTAATCATTTACTATGTTTTGTGAAAAGATGACAAGGTGCACGTGTGATGGTGGTAACTGTTTAGTCCCAGAACAATAATAGAGGGAATGTGGGGATGAAATGCAGACAATCAGTTCAGTTCAGTTTGTACAACCATTAACCATGCACTATCGTGCGCCG